TGAGGAGCTGCATGAATGAATGAATGAATGAGGTTTTTGTTTCTCCCCCTTTTGTACGGGGAAAAGGGCGCTCTCCCTCCTCTCCAGCAGGGATCAGGGCTCTGCAAACCCAAGGCAGTACGTCACTGTCATGACAATCTCCTGGTTAAGCCATTTGCCTAATGAGGCTTAAATGAGGCATAGAAAAGGGGTTTCTGCTAGCTGAAACATCATGTTTTCTAGGTTGTAGCAGTGAACCAGAAACTGGGGTTTGTGTATTGCCTTGTTAGAGAGCGTGTAGCCAAGTGTGCAACTCTCCAGGGAGGCCCTGATCCCTAGGGATTTATCAGCAGCTAAAATATAATACTTGGGGAAATCTTCCCCAAGCTGTAGAGCCCTTGGGGTCTCTGTGACTCCATGTTAATCGTATCTACTTGTCTTTTTACTCCACTGGCTTCAGTAGTTTGGCAGGTTTTTGGCTCCAAAGCTTGTTTTCACCACGTGAACTGTCTGAACTCTGGGCTGAACGAGGCTGCAAGTGCAAACAAAGCACAACTGCGTTGGAGACTTCCTATTTTAATCTGGGAGAGAGAAGTTGCCCAGGGCAGCTGCTGTGATTTCCAGGAGGCCTCCAGTTTAAATTCCTCTCCTGGTCCTTTACCTGCCCCTCCAGGGAAGGGAAGATGCCAGCATATGCTGTTTTGGTGTGGGAGGAAACACATGCTAGAGCTGATGTAGCTGTAGACTTGAGCAATAATTTAGGAAGGAAGCTGAACTATTCCTGCTAAATAGGGCTCAAAGGCAGCTGTTGATAATGTATTCTGTAGGTCTGTGTGTAATCAAATATCCCTTTACTTTGCTATACTTTGGTAGAACTAGAGCAAATGGGTATTTTTAAGGTTTCTGGCTTGGTCTGGACATGACTACCGTGTGGGGGAGGTGGTTTCTATGAAAACACTCAGTATAAACCCCCTGGCACGCAACACCCTGTGACACAGCTCTTGGAAGCAGCAAGAGGAATGAGCAGCTGGCTCTTGGGTTGGAGACTGCCTCGGGGAGCACTAGGGACATCAAGGCTACAAGGACGCCTGTCATGCTCTGCTCTCTGCTCCTTGAAGGGTCAGGGCTTCCCCCTTGAGTGAGCAGGACGCGGGCTGCGTAGTTGGACTCTTCCTAGACTTGTGCAATGGGGACGCTGCGTGTGGACTCCTGGATGAACCCGTCCGTCAGCTCAAACAACTGCCAGCAAGAGGGAGGGAGGGAGGGAAGGAAGGACGGAATATTAGAGCAGAGCGGTTTGACCTCAGAGCAGCCTGTGCAGGTCGCCGTTCCTGCTGCTGCTCTGTGTGACTCCTCTCCAGGAGCAAACGCACGGCTGCCCTCCCAGCAAGAGGGGAGCTGGTCAAGCTATCGGCTGTCTCCTGTCCTCTGGAGGAAGTTGTGACTTCCCTTATGGGTCACTCAAAGGATGAGGGGCTTTGGGGTCCTTCCAAAGGACCGTAGTTTGCAGGTCACGGGTCAGCCCCAGCTGCCCCAATGACGATGAGGCTGGAGCCCAGCTCTGGGCTGGGGGCTCCGTCCATCCGAAAGGACTTGGCCTGAGGAACACTGGAGAGAGCAGGGCAAGGGGCTGAGGGAGGTCAGCTTGGGTGTGGTGGAAATGATGAGGAGAGACAACCCTTTAATAACCTTCATTTAATTCTTTCATGACATTGGCATGTGTAGAAATGTTACAGGCTTGTTTACAATACTGATAACATTTGCATTGCTGTGTGGGTTAATGGCAAAGCCCTTTGTCAAGTATGATACAATCACTTCATAAATTTTTTTATATAAAATAAATGCTTAGAAATACCAACTGTTATTGCTATTAAATTCCTGAGTTATGCTGAGAACATGTTCTCTTCACCTTCATTAGATGCTCCCCGCTACCAGCAGTGTCTGCTCATCAGTCACAAAGCTCTGCGGTGTGTTATAAAGGGTTTGTCCGTGCAAGCTGACAACTGTGCGCAGGGAAATTTTCTACATAGGAAAAAGGAAAGAAAATTCAAGTTAGCGGGCTTGTCACTGTCTCAGCGTGGGCAATTTCAGCAGTCAAATGAAACACCAAAATGCAGATCGGCTCCGGAACTATAAGCCCGACTCCCAAGCTGTTCTCCTGGACTGACTCCATTTGCCTTGCAATCCTAAAGCAAACTTCCCCTGTGACTGTGACAGATCTGGCAAGTGAAGCTGGTTAAAGCCAGTCTGATCCTGGAGTCTGTGTGTTAACACAGCAGGGGCAGATCCTCCTGAGGAAGAGAGGACTGCTTAATGCTGTTCATGCTACAGGTCTTCCAGCCTTGATGACTGATAATATAAGGCATCTTGCATCATGTCAGGCTATTTAGAGCTTGGAGAAGCAGAGCACTTAATGTTAACTTCATTTTACCTGAAAGTCACGGATATAGGTGAGGAAAAAGCTGAGGAAGGAGAATGCTAACGACCACTCTGAGACGGTACTGATGATGTGAGCTGTGTAGCCCTGTGAGAGGGGGGAAAAAACCACTATGGGTGTGAAAAGCTCCTCTTGAACCTGCAATGGCACAAAGATGGCTTGCACGTATGACATCCCACATCCCCAGCTATTCCCTTTGGAGAGCACAATTTCTTCGCATATCTGGAGTCTCTAAGAATGAAGTGCTGAACTCAGCAGGAGAGTGAGAATGACCGGGAAAACACCTGCTCCACACAACTGGGATGACCCCCACTGGGAATTTAATATCCACCTGCAAAACCTGAAGACTCAGTCAAGAGCTTGGCATGACTAGCAGCAAAACCTCTTTACAAAAGTAAAGGTTCAAGGCCCTCCCTTGGATGTAAGCAGACTTCTGAGAGAAGAGACGACTCCTTACGCTTTAAATAAAGGGAAGGGTGGGAACAGCCCTCAAAACCTGCCTGCATAATACCACCTCCAGCAGTGCCTGGAGAGGATGAGGAAGGCCAGGGAGCAGGCAGAGCTGTTAAGACCTGCATGCCCTCTCTATGTCCCACCTGGGATCCCTCAATGCCCAGCACTTACCACTTCAGTGGCAGCTCTATCACTTGTATCCTTTAGCCTTTTCCTCCTCCTGACTCCACCAGACACCCACCTAGCAGCAGTCGGGAACTCTGCTTCACCGCAACCAGCTGGCACGTGAGATTCATTATTTACAGTTACCGTGTAACAGTGACCGGGAATCGCTGACCAGCACAGACCAGACAGCCTGGTAGTTTGACATCTTGTTGAGGCAGTTCAACTACTGCCCATGAGTGAGATTAATTTAAAATAACACTTGAAGCTGCAACCGTTTTGCTCAGAGCAGTACTTCAGCAAGTAGCTGCATACTGGCTCAACTGGAAAAGCTCACTTGTGCTCTCCCGTCCCAAGTAGGTGTACACAACTGCAGTAAGTGCCCAGATGCATTTGTCACTGCAAATAACGTAGCTGGTTTTTGTTCTCTGTTTATTTTCTCTGCTCAATCACTTACTTTTTCCTGTGGGTCCCAGTGCAACTTCTGCACTAGATTCGTTCCATACAGGCCACTGTATAAGACAACTGAGGAAACAAACACTGTAAAGAAATACGTTAAGGAAGATTCAAGACAAAGAATGAGCAACTTGGAAATTTCAGACTCGGCTCTGGATTGTGTCAAGCTGAGGCTGTAAGGAGATCTCTGCGTGTTTTCCACAAGGTGGAAAATTTCTCGGCATAATGAACAGTAATGGTGAGGCAGACTGCTTCATATCATTTCCTTCACCTTGTAGGTTGTTCCAACTGACTAGTTACTGTCACATGAAAAGGTTAATTCTAATCTAAATCAATTATCTTTGTTCTCTATATGCTGCATCTTGTTATACCTCCTTGATCAAACATAGCATCCTTACGAAAGCACTGAAACTATGATCAAATGTGAATGCTTACTTAGCATTTTGAAATTTTTTTTTTTTTTAGTGGTATTTTCCAGGCTAACAGTGTCTGGACCTCTTTCTCTGATTGCTTTTCAACTTCTCAACCACCTTGAATTCTTGATATGTGGGTTACAGGTTGGAATACTATATCATTTGCAACAGAGAGGATTATTAGCTTTCCTGGTTCCCTCTTAGTTCACTCAAGGTTTTATAACTGCTTTGGTACAGCAGCCAAGGAAAAACCCCACATGACAATGATTCCTCATTTGATCAGAGACCTGGGTTATTTCTGGAGTGATTTTCAACATCTGAAAGAGGGAAGGTATGCTACATCAGTGCTACTGCCTTTATATATGGAGCATTAAGTTTTAGAAGATCTGATTTTCACAGGATTAAGATATTAACTTCTTCAATCATTAATAAGATTAAACATCACGAGTCTCCTGATGTGAAAGATTAATTTTGGTGGTGAACAAGGCTGAACTTACTGGCACAAACATGTCTTTGAAAACCCAGACTTCCAAAGCTTATTAAAAAAATTGATGTGAGTGGTCCAGGGAACTCTGGTTACTGATCTGAATGCAAGATACCCAATTCTCTGCTAATTAAAATGTAGAGTTTTAGTAGCTGTTAGTTACCTGCCTGAGTTACTACTGCAATGGAAAGAATTTAATCATCGTGATACAAAAATAACTGGCTCCCATCCTCCCCTTGTTACAGAGCGGGTAATTAACTGCTTTGCTCTTTCTGTGTTGGCAGTTCTGCTGTTTCACTCCAGCAGAGGATCAGGAGTGTTTTTAGGTTTCCTTCTGTCCTCCAGTACCAGTAACAACCATTTCACCAATGGCCATAGACTTCTACCCGTTACCATCTTTCCCTTATTGCATTATGAACTGTTAATTTAGAAAATACTGTGACAATTTCCCTTTTCTTCCCCTTCCATACATATGTATGTATATATCATTACTTCCACAACTGTCTTTACTTCCCTCTAATTTTGGTTAGACCACGCTGGTTTAAAAACCTCTACAGATTTTGGGCTTGTGGGTTTTTTGGCAACTGTAAAAGGCTCTTAACTTGCAGCAGTTCATATAGTTCCACTTTAGTCTTCCCCAATTGTATTTGGCTCCTAATTGTTCAAAGCTGAAAATCTTGTTCTTTGCTAGCATCAAAAATTTCTGCTAGGGACTGCAGTTCTCTAAGTCTCACAGATGACTTCCTTGCTCTGTGTCAAGCCTCCTCAGCAGGTAAGGGTCCTTCTCGCTTCTTTATAGAAAACCAGCCTGTGCCCCGACTATTGCTTCTCGTCTGACTAGTACAGATTAGATAATCTTGCAGTAGCAGGAATACCGTCACTGGGAAATGGGGTGTATGGTTTAGTGTTGGTTTTGGCTGCCAGCCTGGAAATAAGTGGAATTGGTGGGGATTAAATCGGTGGCCTTGATTCAGCTGCAGAAGAAATACCATTTAAGCAATGATTTTTGCACTCATATCTTTGGAATACAAATTTGAAAGCTTTAGTGTTGTAGTCCTGGTTTGACACAAAACTGAGTCATAATTTTCAAAATACTATGTTTGGGTCCATTGGGGTGAGCAGAGGAACCGCTGTGGTTCAGTTTCACGATTGTTAAATGACTCTGGTCAGGAGAACAGCCTCTCTTTCTGGATGGGTTTGCCCATATTTCTATAAAACCCACAGCTGCTTCCAGCACTCAGAATTCAAAGTTAAGGGAGATGATGGATTCCAGAGCCGAGGGAAGGTTGTAGGGAATGCCGGTCAGAAATGTCTTGTCTTTTGAACTGTAGGATGGGCAAGGGAGGAGATCAGAGGTCAAATGCCACTTCTGACTCAACCTTAGCCATATGCTCCAGAATTGTCTCTGACAAATGCCAGCACTTTAAACCTGCTCTGGGAGCCAGCTGGCACAGTGCAGCACTGCTGCGCGTGGTTAGGTCAGTAGTAATTTCTCTTATGCTACATTCTGTACTTCTTTTAGTTGTATCCAACTATAAAAC